TTTTCTTCATCTACTAGCCAATTTGACTGGAATTATTTTATTGCTTTTATTTGCGAGATACTCGAATACCAAAATGCGGATCATTTATGGGTAGCACCATCTTATCGCCGATTTTCAGGACTTTAGATTCTGAAACATTTATTTCGCATCAAAACTAACGCCTGAAACAAAAATTCTAACGAAATTTCTATATTAGTATAAAACCAGGGAAATAAGGAACATTGATCACATTTCGGTCCGTCATAATATGGAAACACTTGCCAATATTTTAAATATCTTATTACTCCCTCTTCTATCAACCCATTGTGAGCTTATAGTGTCCATCGACACTTTCGTTTAATGAGCATGTTATATAAATATTTTAGTAATTTTTAGCTCATCTGTACTTGGTCATTAGATGGCTTCAGTTATTGTGTTTGTATTTTGGCCAAGGCTCACATAAAGGTACAAAATAATATCTTCTGTTGGAGTTCGCGTAAAAAATTCTATGGCAACAGATTAAAAATTGTTGTGCTCCACAAATTCTTTTATCTAGTATAATTCGAGGATAGAATCGTCATGCACATGTTCGCTTGGGTAGCGGGCCAGTACATAATCCCATACACATATATTAACCAGGCCTCATGTTGCTTTATAAGGAAATGGAAAAGTTGGCAGTGTTTAAAGTTAAAGGGTAGCACCAGTCATGGGCCAGATAGAATTTTATGATTTGCTACAACAATTTAATTTAGATAGTTCTAATTTATGCATGAATGAATGTTCCATGACGAAATTACACAGCTCCATTGTGTTGCATTTATTCATCCTAAGTAACAACCACATTGGTATGGCTTTTTTCCTACTGGTATTATGTGGCCAATTAGCGCTAATTATTCTAATAAATTTTTTTTGATCATCTGAATGAGACTTGCTGAGCTGTTTAGATCTTTTTATTACTAGATACCCTCCAGCATTTTCTCTTCTGCCCAATTATCCTTTGTTCTCCAGGAACATGTTAAATACCACCAGCTATAATTTGCCTTCCTTAGAAAAAAAATGAATTGCTACCATAGATTGTTTAAGGAGGGCTTGCAGATGCCATGTGCATTGGAATTTACACTTACTAGTGTAACCATCTGTAAAACATCATGTTAAATTTTTTTTTCTATTCAAATCTTGGTGTATACTTCAACGCTGCTACCACTTAGCAATTAAGCCGTATGTTTGGCCAACACAGCCAAGTAGGTCATATTTTAAGTATGCATTTCTGCGCCGTCACTCGTTACGTAAATAACACAGAGAGTCAGTTTCAGGTGAAGAGAATATATTGTGTTATTTTACTATGGGAAATCATGGTCGTTAAATACTCGACTATGTATTAAACAGAACTATTACTATCAGCGGCAATATGGTAAATCTTTAGAATGGTATTCTTTAATTTATTGTTTTAATATGCAAATGCTTTGCAGATCATGAGGTATTTTCGTTTCAAATCAACCCACCCCGATCCTCCTCAGATGTGGTGTGAAAATGAAAGTAGTATGGCAGATGAGTTAGCACAAGTATTACATTTGCGAGTATTGGTTGCTATATTCGCTTCTAAAATATTTATCATTCAGGCCTAATTTTATGGAGGCTATGAGCTGAATATTTACAACCTAGATATTTTAAAGCCTATTTTTTCATTTGTTTATCTCTATGGATATTATGCTTATGCTCCCGAGTGATACACGTCTGCATATGTGTGAATTATGTTTGCATGTCAATTCGAATGAATTCTATTGTGTGTAAAATTATAACTAGCTGAATCATATTTTTCAGCTCACAATAGTAGATTCCAGTTCCAAACCATTTTCGGAGATTCAAGCTTGTTCCGGTTTCGACTGAAACTTCAGAAGTTGTGCTCTGAGTCATCCCTTAATATTGAGCTGAATATGTTCTGACCTGTGAAAGCAATGTAGACTCATTAGTAAATGGCCTCGTCGTGGCAGTAATTCCTCTAAGATAATTCACTCACAACATTGTAGACACAGCGGGTCTGGTATATACCGGCAACAGCAACACAAAGTGTTAAAATTCCAAATCTATATTATTAATAGTAGAACTAGAGCCGAAGTGTCGTTTTGACGTATCTCCTTCCGAAACGTGCGCCGTGTGCTCGGCGAATCCGATGCTGGGGCCCCTTCTGGACGTCCCAATACATTCCGCTACGTTTTATAACGCGATTTTTCGATTGGTTTAAAAGTGACTTTTTCAGGCAATTTCCCTAAAAAGTTATGTGCCCGAAGAAACTTCGGCATTCATCGGCGCAAACCCACACCAACTTTTAGATCGCAAAATCCCGCATGCGCATGCAGTTCCAAGCAGAGTACGTGACTCACACTTGGGATTTGACAGTGGCTCTCATCCGCAAACACCGCACCAAATTTTTACGATCAGCCACAATCCGCGTGCGCAGTCAATCACTAGACATGTGAATCACCTGCTTACCGAACGTGCCGTGTGTTGTGCGCTGCGTGTGTACACTGCTATGTTATGTAATGTATGCTGTTGCTGTGCGTGCAGTGCGGTGTCGTTATGTATGTTATGGTGTGCGCCTCGTCAAGTTTGTGGTGTAGAATTACCGTGCTCGTGTGTGTGCGCGTGCCTCCGTGTGCTGTGTAAACTGTGTATGGTGTTGAGGCTTTGATATTGTGCAGTGCGATGCCTGTATGTGTGTGAATGCGGTGTGTGCGTGCGTGCGCGCATGTGTGGCAAACATTTGACAACGGGAGGTGTAACCGTAGCCCGCGCTTTACTCCTCGGCCTCCAATCTCTCATTTTTAGGACGCCGTTTCGATTGTCTAAGAGCACACACATACCACACTCATACATGCCATAACATTTTGAAATCTGTGTTTTAACAGATTTTAATGTGTTTTCTCACGGGTTTTTAATTGATATAATGCTTATACTAAATGTAGATTAAATGGTATAATAATAAGCATTTAATTAGGTGGGGCCTTCAACTTAAGCATGAGCAAGCCCACACTAAACGCACGTACCGGCACGCACGACGACCAACCGGCTACGCGCTACACACGCACATACAAAGTCCATTGCGGCTGCGGTGTATATAAACACCAATCACTGCTCCGCGCACAGTCTGTGAGGCGAAACCCCCACGAGAGACCGGACTGCAGTTGTATGTGTGTGTTATTGTGTATGTATGTGTGTGGTGTGTCTTGTTTGTGGTGTTTTATGTGTGGTGTTGTGTGTGTGTGTGAGTGTGTGTGTGGTGTGTGTGTGGCTGTGTTGTGTCTGTGCCAGTGTGTTGGTGTGTGTGTGTGTGTGTGTCGTGTGTTGTGTGTTTGTGTCAATGTGTTGCATGTGTGATGTGTTGTGTGTGTGTCGTGTGTGTGTGTTGTTGATTGTGTTGTGATTGTGTGTGTGTGGCTCGTGGGCATATATGAACTCTTCTGTGTGTTGTGTGTGGTGCGTTTCGTGTGTGTGTGCTGTGTGTGTGTGTGGTGTGTGTGTGTGTTTGTGGTTGTGTGTGTGTGTGTACGCACGCTGTGCCTGTGGTGATTGTGTGTGGTGTTGATTGTGATGGTGTTCTGTGTGTGTGTGGTGTTTGGTTGTGTGCTATTGTGGGTGTGCTTGTGCTCCTGTGTGTTGCTGCTTGTGTGTGTGTGATGTGTGTGTGTGTGCAATGTGTGTGTGTGTGATGACTGTGTGTGTAGTGTGTGGTTATTCTAAATTGTGTGTGTGTGTGTGTGTTGTTGTGTGTGTGTGTGTCGTGTGTGTGTTGGTGTGTGTGTGTGTGTGTGTGTGTGTGTGATGTGTGTGTGTGCGTGTGTGTTGTGTGTGTGTATGTGTTGTGTGTGTGTGCTGTGTGTTGTGTGTAGTGTCGGTGTGCTGTGTGATTGTGTGTGTGTGTGTGCTGTGTGTGTGTGTGTGTGTGTGTGCTAGTGTGTGTGTGGTGTGGTGTGTGTTGTGTGTTTTGTGTTGTGTGTGTGTTGTGTGATGTTGGTTGTGTTGTGTGTGTGTGTGCCCCTGTTCAGTGTGTGTGTGTGTGTGTCTTGTTACTTCTTGTGTCTGTGTGTGTGGGAGTGTGTGATAAATGATGTACGTGTGTTGTGTGTTTTGGCGGCTACTGTGTGTGTTGTGTGTGTGTGGTGTGTGGGGGTGTGTGATTGTGTGTGTGTGTGCGGCTGTGTGTGTGCCGCGCCGTGGTGCCGTGACTGCGTGTGCGCTGCGCGTCGGCGTGTGCGTTATAATGTGTCTTGCACGCCCGTGTTGTGCTAAATGTGGTATGTGTGTGACGTGGGTGCGCGGTGAGTGTGACTCGCTGGTTCTTTGTGGTATGCCGTATGTGTTTTGTGAATGCGCGAAATCGAGTCCCTGTGTGTGCAGTGATTGCTAGGGCCCGCGTCTCTTGTGGTGTGATGTCTGTGTTGTCGCGCGTGGTTACCTTTGACTCTCCAACATACTCTCTCTTCCTCGTCTATATTACTGTTACTTATACATATACTATTCCTTTCGGATTGGTTGTGCAATATTTGACACACCGGGAGGTTACCGTGCCCCTCGCCTCCACTGACTTTCAAGAAATATATCTTTTCCAAACTACTCATAACTATTTTTTTTCCTTCAGAATTTCACTTATTATTCATGTGGCTTGAGAGAGAGGGAGAGAGAGAGAGAGAGAGAGAGATTGAGAGATGTGATAGCAAGCAGGACTCGACATACCTGCGATAGATTAGAAGTAGAAGCCTAAAAAAGTAGTAATTATTTCATTTTAGACAATCATTCAAAATGCACTTTGCATTGTCATTCAGACGGATGACCTGGTATCATCACAACACGAACCAAAATCCTTTCATAGCTGTTAAAAAGCAGTCTGAATTTTGGGAAATTCATTAAACGCGCATAGATATATCAGCGATTGTATATTAGAATTTGCGTTCTTTGTTGTTAGATCTGTCTGAAAACATATTTGTTAAAAAGCAACGGCCATCAATAAATTCACAAAACTTGTATTTGTTTAGATCTAACTAATGATTATTTTTTTTATTTCATACAACCTATGAATACACAGACTTGCTCTTAGTTAATGAGAAAGAAGGTCAAAAATCACACAAATGAACTGTTTAATGAATAGTATTGAGGAGATCACTAGCTTTTATCAAGTCGATTTTCACTTACAGCAATATCAAACGTACCGTATACTATTTGTGCATTTTCAACAGGTCAAATAGCTTTCTTAGCAGGTTTGCCAAACCATTACAATACACATATATACAAATATGTTTTTAAATATACTCAGCTAACCAATATTACAACATTAGCCTAACGTCAACAATAACTTTATTGAAAGCATTACTATCATAATAATTAAAACCAACAAGTAATATTAACGTTTTGTTTTGTCAGCATCAGCTGATGCTACCCGTCTCCATTACTCTTTGCTGTGTATTCAACGCCTGTATTCATACAATCTGTACTTGGACATTCTCAAGCCTTCGACAACAGTGCCTTTGCAGAAGAGCACCAAATATCAAATTGGAATTAAACTACATTTATGACAAGTGTGACCAACTTTTATATAACTAATGTATACATGGGCAGGAGATTGACTAATATGTAAAAGACATACTTGCAGCTTTACTAAATAATATATAAGACGAAATCGTATGAATGAATAACAATCTTAAACAATTTCTTTCCAATAGAGATGTTCATGAGAGAAACATATATATCATACTAAATACCTCCATTGGTATATCACTTGATGACGAGATACATTGGCATCTGCTCGTAACCCCAGACATACTCCTCCTTCCCAACGACTGCCGTAAAACCCGGATTTTTTCTCATCACAATATAAACATCACAAGGTGTACACATCATTTGCGAACCACATCGGGTCTGTTGCGCTCCACATCAGGTAAATCCAGAGCAGCAAACCAACAATATATGACAACGCGATGAAAGTGCGCTTCGGATGTCGATGAGACAGCACTTCATTAAAGGCAGGAAAGCCCATGTGGTTGCAGAACGAATGAGCGACAAATGGAGCTGCCAGATGACCTGTGAAATGACAGGGAAGTGCTTTTATTATTGATAATGGGAACGAGGATCAATATATCAATATATAAAGTATCAATACGGGAGAATCTCTTTCATCGACTTGAAAGAGAACCAAACGATTGCAAGAGTGAAATGCGAAAGCCATGAAAGAAATGCGACTTGCCTGTTCTTAGAAACAGAAATGCTGAGTACGTGCCAAATATCGTTGTATAGGAGAACTGGAACACTGAAAAGAACATGACATGAACGTTGATAAATGTTTGAGCCAGCCTTCAATTTTGACAAGTTTAACAGGCACACACGTGTGTGCATGTGTGTATGTGCGTGTGTGTGCGTGCGTGCGTGTGTGTGTGTGCGTATGCACTGTGCATACACGTGTACGTATGGGCATTTAAACATAAATAAACATATAAATTTCTAATTTACTAATATATATATATATATATATATATATATATATATAGAGAGAGAGAGAGAGAGAGAGAGAGAGAGAGAGAGAAAGAGAGAAAGAAGATATGTGGGTACAGAGAGGGAAGAGCGACAGAAAGACGGAGATATGGAGAAAGCGCGAGAGAAATGGAGCGAGAAGGAGATAGACGGATAGATGGATGGATGGATGAATGTATGAATGGATAGATGGGTAGGTGGATGTATGAATGGATGGGTAGATGGGTGGATGAATGGATTGATGGATGGATGGATGGATGGATGGTTAGATACATGGATGGATGGACTAATAGATAGATAGATAGATAGATAAATAAATAGATAGACATATATATAAATAGATAGATAGATAGATAGATAGATAGATAGATAGATAGATAGATAGATAAAAAGATAGATAGATGGATAGATAGGTAGAGACAGAGAAAGAGGGGGAGAGTGATATAAAGACAGAGATTAGGAGAGAGAGAGAGAGAGAGAGAGAGAGAGAGAGAGAGAGAGAGAGAGAGAGGTCAATGCTTCAATGTCAAGGTGAAGGCTTCAATCTTGAGGCCGTAAGATGCCAGGAAGAGGTACAGACGTGTCGTTAACAGAGGTGAAAGAGGGACGCCATGCTAACACGGAGGTGAAGGAGGGACGCCACGCTAACATGGAGGCGTGACTACGTACGGTTGCATAGTTTCTTCAGCTGTGTGATGGCGGACAGCGGCGACACGCTGACCCTGCTGCTGCTGCCGCGTGAGATGGGCGCCGCGCCGTCATCACACGTCGCGATGCAGGCCGCGACATAGGCCGCGTAGAGACGTGTCTGCAGCGGTGTCAGTCTACAGCAGACGACCTGCAAGCGAGCGAGCACGCGTACGCATGATCAACGATGATAGCAATCAATGATAACGATCAATGATGATGCTGCTTGATCAACAATTATAATGATCACTGATAATTTTCTTCTGTGATCTTGTTATTCTTTTCAGCTTATTATGATCTATTTTATTTTCTTATTTACTATTATTAA